TTATAAATTTTAAAAAAAATCTAACGGAAGCTGATAACAGCTTTGCGTTAATCTCAACCCGCGCTGAAGGCACAAGTGAGCTATTTCACAAGCCTTTGTACAATGTTTCCGCGTCTCTCTTCATCTTACGGGGGGGTCGATGGTCCTTGCGCTAATTTTAGAATACAATTTTCTTATTTCCCAAAGCATTGCATTGTGGGAGGGCTAAAAATAACAGTTGTTTGTTTGTGCTGAAATAGACAGGAATTACAGAAAATGAGAAATTATTTTTTGATGATTCCCGTAAAATAGCAAAATCCTGCAAGGTGGATTATTGGGTTCAAAGAACGCGTGGATCAGGGTCGCTCTAATTACGGTGGGTCTCACACGGTTTGAACCCGGGTTTTATTGTGTGGGGTGCAAAAGGAACTTTTTGTCCACCGTTGGATGCATGGGGATGTTAAGTCTCTGTCACAAAACGTTTCAAATTAGCCTTTTCAACGTGGCCATTGGTTGATGGGACAAACAAAAGTCTGACATCACAGGGGTTCTCACAGCTTTTTAAAAGGTTGTCCTATTTCAATGAAATTAATCGTGTGTTACAACACAGTCATATTTTTTTTTAAAGTCGTAAATAATTGAACTTGTATCCAACAGCCCCCCCCCCTTGCGCCTTAAATGTCAATGCGTGATTTTCTCAGTGCAATAATCCGAGTGTTTTTTTTTTTCTTTATTTTGATTTCTTGATTTCGATTTTATTTTACTTTTTTTAACTCGTTTAAGAAAAATGAACAGCTTAGTGTGTGCCCCTCACTTAAAAAGTCGGGTCGGGGGTCAGGGGTTGGGAACAGAAAACATTTTACCCCCCCCTTGCGCCTTAAATGTTAATGCGTGATTTTCTCAGTGCAATAATCCGAGTGTTTTTTTTTTTCTTTAGTTTGATATCTTGATATCGATATTATTTTACTTCTTTAAACTCGTTTAAGACAAATGAACAGCTTAGTGTGTGCCCCTCACTGAAAAAGTCGGGTCAGAGGTCAGAGGTTGGGAACAGAAAACATTTTAGTTTCGGTGATTATAGGTCATAGGAGAAAATAAAATGTTTTCTTTTTTTTGGTGTTGTTTTTGTAAACTCAAGATACTACTGGATGAATCAGGCGATTCGTGTACTTTGTTGTCATGTTAGCGGAGGTATCGGTCGAATGTTGCACTCTCATCATCTGTTATTGGAGGTATCGGTCGATTGTTGCACTCTCATCATCTGTTATTGGACGTATCGGTCGATTGTTGCACTCTCATCATCTGTTATTGGAGGTATCGGTCGATTGTTGCACTCTCATCATCTGTTATTGAAGTTAGTGGTCGAATCATGCACTATCATCATCTGTTATTGGAGGTATCGTTGGAATCGTGCATCATCTGTTAGTGAAGAAACCGGTCGAATCGTGTACTCTGTTATGACCTGTTATAGGTGGCAACAGATACAGACATTGATAGCTTATAAGACTCTCAACACTCAACCGTAGTTTCTAAACACCGCACATTGATAGCTTATAAGACTCTCAACACTCAACCGTAGTTTCTAAACACCAGACATTGATAGCTTATAGGACTCTCAACACTCAACCGTAGTTTCTAAACACCAGACATTGATAGCTTATAAGACTCAAAACTCAACCTTAGTTTATAAACTCCAGACATTGATAGCTTATAGGACTCTCAACACTCAAATTTAGTTTCTAAACACCAGACATTGATAGCTTATAAGGCTCTCAGCCTTAGTTTCTAAACACCAGACATTGATGGCTTATAAGACTCTCAACTTTAGTTTCTAAACACCAGACATTGATAGCTTATAAGACTCTCAACCTTAGTTTCTAAACACCAGATATTGATAGCTTATAAGACTCTCAACCTTAGTTTCTAAACACCAGACATTGATAGCTTATAAGACTCTCAACCTTAGTTTCTAAACACCAGACATTGATAGCTTATAAGACTCTCAACCTTTGTTTCTAAACACCAGACATTGATAGCTTATAAGACTCTCAACCTATGTTTCTAAACACCAGACATTGATAGCTTATAATACTCTCAACCTTAGTTTCTAAACACCAGACATTGATATTTTTGCGTGCGCTAACGCCTATGCACCAGCTGTTGAAGTTTGTTTTTATCTGATTTGAATTGTTTCAACATATTTGTAGTTGGTTTAATGAATTTGGGGAAAAAAAAGGTAATTGTCTGAAACTTTAAATAAATTACGACATTAAAAGAAAATATCGTGTTTGATGCATTCTTTTTGTCAACAACGAAAAAATGTCAACTTTATTCAGTTTGTGACTTATACACACACACACACACACACACACACACACACACACACACACACACACACACACACACACACACAAACACATACAAACAATCATCTACTATATAAAGTTCAGTATGGCTATGGTTTTTGGTTTGCTTGTTTGTACATGGGTCGACGAATCACAAGACGACCAGACAGTGGTTCGCAACCCAACTTTGACCTGGCGATCCCTCCTGGCCTACCGATGGTTCCTGGAAGGTTGACCTAATCTTAATGATATTTCAAGTGTTCTTCCGTGTTATCTTCCTGGCATAATAGTGTCTGCTATACGCATGCGAAAATATGTCGGTCTGTTCAACATACTTTTCTACATGGATCTGGATCAAACTGTGGATATATAGTTACAGCACTATATACATTATCCAGATGGAAATGTTGGATGGTGATTGAATTGTTTTTTTTTCTTTTAGGGTTGGTGTCCCAAATATTTTTTTTTTAAATGTATGAGCGACATATTTAAAATTACATAAATGACTAATCTAGATTACACTTGATACAAATGCACTTGAAAATCAATAATACCAAAATATTCACCACTGTCGGGGGCAAGGGGCCACTAATTCTTTACACAAACTATGCCTCTTGTATTTTTTTCCAGTGATTTTAATGGAACACCTTCTAAATTTTAACTTGGCTATTTATCTGAAGAAAACGTATAGGGACCCTAATCTTAGTGCTAATGAAAACGTCACTTATAGAACGGGTGCCACGCCGGAGCCCCCAAACCCACCGGGGCCCCCCATCCCATCGGGGTCCACACCCCCCCACAGTGTCCCCCCACCCACCGGTGCCCCCCCTCCACCCCTACTTGGTCCTTTTTTTTTAAAAGTGTAAATGAAAACGTGTGTGATGACGTCATTTTGTTTTTAATGTTTCAGTATTGAAATAAAGATGACACGTCATTTTGTTTTTAAAGTTTCAGTATTGAAATAAAGAAGACATAAAAAAAAAAAAATAAAAAAAAAAAATGTAAAGGTTGTTTCAAGGTCTTCAAAAAAGATATAGAATTTCTCAGCAAGTTCAATCTACCTCCGCGTCGATATATAAAGATTAGGAAAATGTCAAAGTGATCTAAAAGTTTATGGACATTTTCACTTTAGTTTGATAGATTTCTACAATTTCCTGGGAATGTCACCGTGATCGTTGAAGATATCTTTACAAGTTTCTAGACTTTTCCAGCCTATTCCAGAACTCTCTCTATTTTTTTATAAGCGTTTTAAGATCTTAAAAATGTCCTATTTATGTTTCTTATGTTTCCGTAAGTCTTTAGGATTTTCCCGTATCTGTTGGAAAGAAATTTCGTCAACGGATTCTTCTGTCTTGTGATGTGGCACGGTGCGTTCAAAGGGAAATTTAACGCAGAATTCGATCGTGTGAAATGAACATATAATTTGATCAAATTTCCGTTCGATCGAAACTTCCGTCAATTAATTTTTCCGCTGACGAAATTTCTTTCAAGCAAATTTCCGGTAACCGTAACAGGATTTCCCTCGACTACAATGTCATTAGATTTAAAGCTATTTTTAAAGTTTCTTGAAAGTTCCACAACAAAAACAAAAAAAAAAGTGTGCAGGACTTTTCCTGAATATAGGTTATGGAGGATTGGGGGGGGGGGCAGTGCATTAATTTGACCAGGGTCTATTGCTGTTGATACGGCCCTAGGTGTGCTCAGCTTNAAAAGGGGGTTGCTTCCCCCCCCCCCCCCCCCAATTTCAAGGTTTACAAGGGTTATTATAAATCTGGGCTTTTCACAGGACAAAACTTTTCTTTTTATTGGTATACTTTAGCGAAATGTTTTGGACAGGGCCCTAAAGTTAGGTGTACGTGTTTTTGACAGGGCCCTAAAGTTAGGTGTACGTGTTTTTGACAGGGCCCTAAAGTTAGGTGTACGTGTTTTTGACAGGGCCCTCAAGTAAGGTGTAGGTTTTTTTTGACAGGGCCCTAAAGTTAGGTGTACTTTTTTTTGACAGGGCCCTAAAAGTTGGTGTACGTGTTTTTGACAGGGCCCTAAAGTTAGGTGTACGTGTTTTTGACAGGGCCCTAAAGTTAGGTGTACGTGTTTTTGACAGGGCCCTCAAGTAAGGTGTAGGTTTTTTTTGACAGGGCCCTCGAGTAAGGTGTACTTTTTTTTTGACAGGGCCCTAAAAGTTGGTGTATGTGTTTTGACAGGGCCCTAAAGTTATGTGTACGTGTTTTGACGGGGCCCTAAAACTAGGTGTACGTGTTTTTTTTGACAGGGCCCTAAAGTTAGGTGTACGCTTATCATGCTTTGGAACTTGTTTTTTTTCTTTCCGAATGCATTCACGAGCAAAGCCGCATTAATTGGCTGTACCTTCTGAACCTCTCTGACTAAATTTCTATTATTTTTTCTCCTCTCCTCAGGGAAGGTCAGCACGACCGACGTCACGATGACCGGGAGCTGCAGGACAGGCGTCGGGACGTGAAAGATCGGCGCAAGGATGGTCAGGGGGACCGGGACCGGTACCGGCAGAGCCCGGTGAACGGCCGTCGTGAATATTCTGACAAGGATAGCTACCGAGGATCCCGGGAACACCTCAATGACCTACAGCAGCAGCAACAGCAGGGCGGGCCCGAGAACACTCCAGATGCCGAGGGGCGCCTGGACCGACGCGGGGGCAGCCGGCACCACCGGGGAGAGCGCTCCGTGAAAGACCAACGCCGCTCCCCCAGTCGAGAGCGGGATCGCGAGCGAGGGGATCGGTTCGGCGGCAAGGACGCCCCCGAGGACCTGCAGTTCTCCAGGCACCGGATCCTCATAGAGCACGCCAGCGACACGCAGGCCGAGGACCCCCGCGACAGCATCGTCATAGACCCCAATGATAAAAAACAACACTTGGATCCCAGTTCGGCGGGCGGCGGGCGGTCGAGGAACAACCGGAAAAAGCTGGAGACCATGCTGCGGAACGACTCGCTCAGCTCCGACCCGTCGGACTGCGTGCGGCCGCCGCCGCCGAAGCCGCACAAGCACAAGCGCGGGAAGAAGCAGCGGCAGCACAGCCTCAGCAGCAGCGAGGACGAGATCCAGTCCACGCCGGACTGCTCCAGCTGCGAGGAGGTCGACCTGGAGAGCGAGAGTGTCAGCGAGAAAGGTATGTTCTTCACGGGGGGGGGGGGGCCGGAACGGGGGCCGTCTTGGGATGGGACTTATTGGGCTTAGTGCGGGATGTTGGAGNGGGGGGGGGGGGCTTATGCCAGATTCACTAAAAGATCAATGGGCGCAAAAGAACAGGACCCTGAATGGCATACTTTTTAAGTTTAGCAGTTACAAAACTGCTAGCAAAACTGCTAGCTACACCATCATAGCTTAAGAGTCACCAAAAGTTGTACTGTATGTCTACGTTTACTAACGTCTGGATAATATTTTGATATGGCTGCAGCAATATATGTAATGAGTTAATGAGTTATTTTTTTTTTTGACTGCAAAAAAGGAATCCAAAAGCTTTTGGGATACTTGCTAAATGTCAAAAAGGTTCGCATGATTGTAGACAAATGTCCCATTCCAGGATTGTTGACAAATGTCCAATCCTAGAATTGTACACAAATGTCCCATTCAGGATTGTTGACAAATGTCCAATCCTAGAATTGTAGACAAATGTCCCATCCAAGGATTGTAGAAAAATGTCCCATCCTAGAATTGTAGACAAATGTCCCATCCCAGGATTGTAGACAAATGTCCCATCCCAGGATTGTAGACAAATGTCCCATCCCAGGGTTGTACACAAATGTCCCATTCAGGATTGTTGACAAATGTCCAATCCTAGAATTGTAGACAAATGTCCCATCCCAGGATTGTAGACAAATGTCCCATCCCAGGATTCTAGACAAATGTCCCATCCCAGTATTGTAGACAAATGTCCCATCCCAGTATTGTAGACAAATGTCCCATCCCAGGATTGTAGACAAATGTCCCATCCCAGGATTGTAGACAAATTTCCCATCCCAGTATTGTAGACAAATGTCAAATCCCAGGATTGTAGACAAATGTCCCATCTTAGAATTGTAGACAAATGTCCCATCCCAGGATTGTAGACAAATGTCCCATCCCAGGATTCTAGACAAATGTTCCGTCCCAGGTTTGTAGACAAATGTCCCATCTCAAGCTTGTAGACAAATGTCCCATCGCAGGATTGTAGACAAATGACCCATCCCAGGATTGTAGACAAATATCCCATGTCAGGATTGTAGACAAATGTCCCATCCCAGGAGTGTAAGACAAATGTCCCATCCCAGCATTGTAGATAAATGTCCCATCCCAGGATTGTAGACTAATGTCCCATGCTTTAAAGACAAACATTTCAAACTGATTTTAGAGAAAGATGTTTAACTCAATGCTTCTACTTCCCTATAGCGAGTGTTATACAAGGTTAGTAATGGCTATGTTTTAAAGAAGCGTTTCCGTTGTCCCACTTGAATAAGTAATACTGCAGAAGGCTTGTCTTGCTTGACCCATTGAAGACGTACGCCCGGTCATTGTCATAAATCTCATATGACAAATCACAACGGCTTCAACGTAGGTATCAAATTGTCATTGCTAAAAATACCGCACCCTTGCCCTATAATATTTATTGCATTATATTTTTTATGCCTTAGATATATATTTATATATATAGGCCTATATATATATATATATATATATATATATATTAATTTGAAAATGTCATCTTACGTGACATTTGCCACGAAGTCCTTAAATATGTCATCTTTAACTTCTTGTCACCCAAAGGACATGTTGCTACAAGGTAGTATTGACCTCCCTATGCCCAGTCAATGTCCTATATGCCCAGTTAAAACCCCCAAGTGCCACCAGACTAGTCAACGTGGCCTGAAATTATGTCATCTTTGCAAGGCACTTGAGCCACGAGATTGGCTCACCTGTGCCCATGTCTGCATCTCCTACCCCCCATCCCCCCCAACCTTCCTCCACCGTACTAATCAATCTGGCCTTCTTGTTCCTCCTCCTCCCCCCCTCCCCATCCACTCCCCCAACACCAAGCTGTCTCAGTCAAAGCCAATGAGTATTATGTGGGTGGCGGAGACCTTACCCACACGGACGAGCGTTGGAAAAAAGATGAGATTTTAGCGGCTAAAATTAAGAAATTCCTCTCGGTGAGTCAGTGTAGCCGCCACGGTGGACCTTCACCAAGCCGCGCCCCCCACCCCCCTCCACTCGACGGCCCACTGGCGGCCTGACAGGAGGGGGGGGGGAGCGTGGTGTTTTGGGAGTGGTCAAACTCTGCATGTGCTTCATAGATGTCATGGCTCTTTGCGACGTGTATATTTATAGCTTTCATGTATAAGCTGGGGTTTCACTGAGGGATATTCTAAAAATTTCGAGGTTTAAAATAACTGGGGAAAGGGGGGGGGGCGCTTCGGTTTTTTTGTTTTT